AGCTGCTGGATTCGATTTGCCCAGTATTTTATTGAGGATTTTCTCATCAATATTTATCATGGAGATTGGCCTAAAATTTTCCTTTTTTGTTTTGTCTTTAGTAGATTTTTGTATCAGGAGGATGCTGGCCTCATATAATGAGTGAAGGAGGATTTACTTTCTATTATTTGGAATAGTTTCAGAAGAAAATGGTACCAGCTCCTCTTTGTACCTTGATAGAATTTGGCTGTGAATTCATCTGGTCCTGGGCTTTTATTGGTTGGTAGGCTATTAATTGCTGCCTCAACTTCAGAACTTGCTATTGGTCTTTTCAGGAATTTGATTTCTTATTGGTTTAGTCTTGGGAGGGTGTATGTGTCCAGGAATTTATCCATTTCTTCTGGATTTTTTAATTTAACAAATTTAATTTATTATAGAACCAACAACTGGTTAAAGGGGAAAGGTTAAACTTTTCAACAAATAGTGTTAGGACAATTAGTTATACAGAAAGAATAAAGGAAATTAGACCCTACTTCAAATCATATACAATAATCAATTCCAGAATTAAGGTAAGTTAAAAACCTAAATGTGAAAGGTATAACCATAAAACTCTTAGAAGACAATATCGAAAAATTTCCTTATATCTCATGGTAGGACAGGATTGCTTAAGAAAAAAAAATTAAGAAAAAGATTGATAAATTTGACCTCAGTAGGATGGAGAAATAATGTTTAGCAAAGGTCATAATAAATGACTGAAAAAATAAGCTACTAGTTGGTAAAGATATTTGTCCCAAATATAATTGACAACGAGATAACATCAGGAATATGCAGACCTAAAAATCAATAAGAAAAAATTTTAAAAGGTAACATGATTTTTCCTAAATTGAGCGTAGGCTGCAAAGACATTCATTGTAGGTTTCATATCTAATATTCATATTTTACATTTTTTCTGTAACATATTTTAATCTATTTACTTAAAAAACTATTTTTTAGAAACTACTTTTTTGTAAAGAGAAAGCATCATCATGTAGTATATTATGTACAATAACAAAACTGCACTTAAATTGCCTCTGGTAACAGTGAAGGCTACACCCTCCCCAGCCTGAGTGGGATGATATCAAGAAAGCTTCAGAAAACAGTTTCACTCAAGGTAAAGCCTCAAGAACAAGTAAGTAAATCATTTGGTAAAGAGCATTCTGAACAATAGGAATAGAATGGCCTAGTCTAAGAGTTCTGAAAAGGCATGGAGTTTTCAGGAAATTTAGGTAACTTGCTACGGCTGAAATATAATACACTGGTAAGAAAGGGGCAGGAGATACAGAGAAAAAACTAGGTGAGACAGATGACAGAGAATCTGTGATGCCAGCCGAGAAATGTGGACATTATAGTGTAACACAGAAAGTAATACACAACCATTTAAGGATGTTCGACAGCAGAAAGACATAGTCAGATTTAGGTTTTATATGAATCACTGGCTACTGTGGGGAAAATGAACTAGAGGGGTCAAGACTTGAGGAATTAAAAGCAGTTTGGGAATTAATCCAGAGTCCACGGAAGGGAAAGTTAAGACTTGCATGAAGGTTCATTGCCCACCCTTGACCAGTGGGTGGGGAGTAAGGAGAAGAAGGAGTCAAGGATTACCCCTATGCTTTCAGCTTGAGCAATTGCAAGGAGAGTGGTGTCATTCAACAGAAAACATGGGAAGAGAAGGTTGAGTAATGGGATGATTTGGTTTAGTTCAGCACATGTGAAAGGTTGGACACCTACTGCAAAGGCTAAGACCAATTGACTGGAGAAAACACCAGTATATTTTATATGAGTTGGATAGACAGAGAAGGAAACTAGATGTCAGTAAGAGTAAGATCACAACAGTAAGCTTCAGAGTTTCCTGTGATATATCATATAATGATATAAGATGACATATAATGATATGAGCTGGGCTCCGAATTGACAGTTAGGGATATAGGTTTTAATTCTATCTCTGTACCTATGAACCAGTTACAAGGGCAAAGTGAATTGTAAATAATAATAACAAATCAAATTTATTGATCATGTGCTATGAACTATATGCTGTACATTATTCAAACATATGACAAATATCTCACTTCATTTAGCAAAAGTTATCATAAATGGCTGAAGAAAAGTGATAAAAATAGTTTCCATTTTGTGGAAATAAAAACTTCACTTAATTCCCATGGAAATTCCAGAGGGTTGGAGAAGATACTGATCTTGTTCACATCTGAATCCTTAGCATCTAGCTAACACATCTATGGGCATTTAATACATGCACAAAAAATACTTGTTATAGGAATAAATAATTTAATTAATGAACACCTCTTCACAAGAACCCTGAAAGTTGTGTATTATTTGAACCTTGAAAGTTATGCATTAAATGCATTAATATAAATGTTATTCATATTTCTCTAGAAATGAGAAAATTGTAATTTAAGGAGGTTTACTAAATCACTTTCTATTGTAGAACATTGCTAAGCAGCCAGTCATAACAAGTGTTTGAGAAAAACTCAGGCCAATGTATTTCCAGGTATATTGTAAGTAATGATCTGGCTTCTTCTGTTTGTTGTCCTATTTGATGGTGGTAATAGGAGTGATGAAGAAGACAGTTCAAATGATTCAATTATCCCGGTCATGATTGCTATTTTGCATTTTTTTTTTTTTAACGTAGAGCTAACTTGTGATCTGGCTGCATATGTTCTAATGTAGTGTTGTGGTAACTCCACCTCTAGTCTAATATGGTTGTAAAATGTACTGTGCTGTGGTGTTTTATTGTGTTATGTTGTGTGTTTTATTTTATTGTCCCTAGTAATATAAACCATGGAAGGAAGACCAGTTGATGATGTTTTTCCTTGATCCCAAAACTTTCTATAATGTCTCGCACTTAGGAAAAGATGCAGACAAGATGAAAACTTTAAGCCATTTACGCTCAGAGTTATCAACACATTTCAAGCATGTGAGATTGAGATCACTATTTACAAACTTTCTGGTTGTTAAAAGTAGTCTAGGGAGGATTGCTTATAGAAGTAATTAAATGTGTTGATTGGCTATTTACCAGTGCCTACTTCAGTTCATTTACAGTTTGACACTTGGAAGCTGCAATTTGGTAAACTTGAGCCCCCAGTCCAAAGAGACTCCTATAAACAGCATCTCTCTCATTTTACTCTTATTTGCCAAACTTCTAAGTAAATAGAGACCAGAGGGCATCATTAACACATCTGCTCTTTGGTTTTGATCATGATGGAACATAATTTCACACTAGAAGTCACTGGGGAAGTAGGTGTACTTAGTGGAGATAGGAAAACATTTATCATGAAACTTTATTTGAGGAACCAAATACCTGGGGAATTCTCAGACTATTAAGCAAAGGCCAAATGTAAACCTGAGAAAGAAAACTTTAGCTGATGCAAGATAAGCAAGACAGTGACCCATGCCTTAGTCTATCCACTTATTTGATGCAGATGTTTATAGATTTGGCACATGAGCAAAAAGCAAGGAGTTTCTCACCTGGAAGATAACAGAAGCCTGAGGAAAACCAGCTAACTAACATTACGCCTCAGCCCTGGTTGGCTGATACAGGAAATCCTTAATTAAATACTCATTTGGTTTTCCCTTAATAAGTAATTTCAAATATTAAAATTATAAGTATGCTTCATACATCGAATAAGTTAAGCTCCTCTGTCAAAAGAGGGAATGACAGAGAATAAGGCCAACGTTTTTCTTAGTAGCAACAAGTTGCCTGTGTTTGGCTGTTGCCTTTGTCACCAGTCTCCAGTGGATTGTGACTGTGGGTTGTTAGGACTCCCTGTGCTTTTACTTTCCTTGATGATTGGCGCTGACCATAGTCTCTCTGGTCCTCCTCAAGCCCAGTGTAAGACCTTGTAGCCCAAAACCCCTTTCTTGTCCCTAGGGTTATTGAAAACCTGGAATAGTGCATTATGGTATTTCATTAATAAACATTTTTTAGAAATTTGGGGGGACAAATGTAGGTTTATCCAATGCCTCCTATTATTACTATATTTTCATAACTGAAAAGAGCATATTAATCCTGGAAATTTAGTAAGGACCTAATCTGAGACAACAAACAGTCTATTAAATTGAATAAGTTTTCCAATATGAAAAGCTCAACACATTATTTTGATTTTCTCACTTTATAATTACTTGTAAAAAGTCTGTCACAATCAACACTAAAATTCAGACTGAGGGGATTTGGGAGTCCTTGACTTAGACTATCAAGGTACCATTTGTTTGAGGAAATAATAAAACACCAAAATCTCAAGAACTAACTTTAGAAATAAAGTTTTTCCTTGCTGGTTTAAAAATGTTGCATTCTAATCAATATAAAGAAAAGAAGTAAAATCCTCCTAGATGTTTTCATGACTTCAGTAGCAAGTAAAAAGTAGAAATTTCATTGAATTTATATTATTTTGTAAAAAGTTAGAAACAACTGGAATTGTTGACACTTCACAATAGAGAAGTAGTTAAAAATATATTTGTATATCTGTGCAAAGTCACATTATACAGCCACAAAAAGGGATTACTCATAGCTCAAACCTCAGCATCATGCATTATATTCAGTTAACAAATGTGCACATATACCCCGACTCTAAAATAAAAGTTGAAAAATAAAAATATTAATATAAAATAAAGAATTTTAGATTATATAATCCTCACCAAGAAGTATACTATAAGTAACTTTTTTAAAAAATTCATTTGGTTTGTATATATTTTATTTTTATATTTTCCTTTATTTTTCAAATATCTTAGAAGTATGAGAATCAGAGAAACTTTAAATATGAAGATCAAGATATTTAAGGATTGGTATATATATTAACAATATAAATAAATTATATGTCAACAATTATTTAGCAGCAACATTGAATGTGTGTACTTTTAGTTGATTTTACAAAAGACATATACATATATGTGACAAGGACATGTATAAATATATAACAAAATCATTCTAATTTGCATTCTCAAATTCAACCCTATGGTTTCCACCACTGAACAGCTGACTAAGGTACCACTATAAACTCATGGCAGTTCTTCTAAGGGCAGGAGAAGTTATATAAAAGGCAGGCCCTTAAATCCTGGATTTGCAAAGCTCCAATAAGTTGGTAAGAATGGAAAAGATTATACCTACTATGTCCCAAATAGGAAATTACCTATAAGCATCGTAATTTAACTCACCATACACACTTTGACTCAAGTAACTGATTTTAAAAATCCATGTGGTTGGTGCATGGGGTTGGTTAGGTTGTGTTCATAAATACTATCATCAACTGATTTGCAAAACAGTAAAATATAATAATTCCACTAATTCTCTCCCAAAAACAAATTACATCTGGATGAATCTTTTTGGAAAATTGTACCAGACAGAATCATCTTCAGTGCTTTTCTAAACCAGGGATAGAAAAATGCATAAACCATTGGATTAAATGTAGAGTTCAAGTAGCCAAACCAAATCAATACATCGTTCAAAGCAAGTGGAATAGTGTAGTGCAGAAAAGGGTCCATGACTGTACAGACAAAGAAAGGGCACCAGCACACTAGGAAAACTCCCATCACAATCCCCAATGTCTTCGCAGCTTTCCTTTCTTTGCTCGGTGAAATTCCATTTTTCATTTCCAATCCAATTTGGAGCTTCTGATTGCCATCATTAATTGATCTTGCCTGCCCTTTAGCTATAAGATATATTCTATAATAGACACATAACATAATAGATCCAGGTATGTAGAAAGAAGTCATAAAGGCCAGTACTCCAGATATTTTGCTAAAGAAGACAGAGCAACCTCCTCTACAGTGAACATGTTTGTAATAAATGTCTTCAACCCCTTTGAAGTTTAGCTCCAGAAAGATCATTCCAAATGCAAAAATAGCGGGGACACTCCAACTAATGAAGATCATCACACAGATAACCAAGATACTGATCCTGACTTTGTATCTCAATGGGTCACACACAGCATAGTAGCGGTCAATGGAGATGAAAGACAAGTGGAAAATGGATGCTGAGCTCAACATAATGTCAGTGCTGGTGTGAATTTTACAGAAGACTTCTCCAAAATACCAACAGTGCTCAACAGATCTCACCATGCTGTAAGGCATGACCAAGCACCCCAGAAGAAAGTCCACAGTGGCCATGGAATGAATGAGCCAATTAGTCGGAGTATGGAGTTGCTTGAAGTGTGATATAGAAATAATAACTATCAGATTGCCAACCAGTGTGGTCAGAATTATGAGCACCATTAAACTGTACAGGAAAGCACGGACATCATTTGACCAGTTGTTTTTCACACAGGAAATATTAATTATATTGTGGCAAAAGGGCATCATTCCAGAGGGCTGTCAACCAGTTTACTTTTCCCTTTGTGTATTGAGTAATCTTTTTTCCAAATTCATAATCAGGTTACAGTTCCTTGTCTTTTTTATTTTTTATTTGCACATACCTTTCCCAGAATCCTAGGAGAAAAAAAAAAGAGTAAATAATTAGCAATTCGATTCTTCTCACTTCTAACACATTTACCTATTACTTCCTGTTGAAGAATAGTTATTTTGGAAGGAACTTTATTTCCAAGTTCCATTCAATAGTTCAGCACAGCAATTTTCTTTTAAAACTTTTACCTGGAGCTGGACATTGTTCTACAAATACAAAGCTAAATTATTAGGTTGAACTATATGAAACTGCCACATTTGTAGATCAGAGAAGATCAAATTGTTATGATCACACATCTTAATCTATGGAAACAATCTGTGTCCACAGGAAGCCAGTCTAGGGGGGAGACTTACATTCTAAAGGGTAGAAAAAAAATTGCCAGAAAATTTGGAATTAAAATTTTTTATGAAAAATAAAAGAAGTGTTTTAAATGTGCCTCTTGTGCAGAATTAATACTCACTAGTGCCCACTTTCGCATTTGGTCATACGTAAGTTATACATTTCTTATTTTATAATTAATTATAGTAAAATAAGCTTACGTATCTTTATTTCCAGCTTGCAAAATACTTCTACATATATTCCATGCATTATTTCAGTTACCATTTTACTTGAAATTCATACCAACATCGTTTTTTGTATGGAAGACACGACATGCTTTATTAACTTCATTTTACTGGAAAGAAATTGAAGTTTAATTCACAAAATTATTAAAGCTTGGATATGAGCTGTGGTCTCAATTACTAGTCCATTTTGTTTCATACCATTTGTTTCATTCCAATCTTTCTCTGCATTGCAGAATCAACGTGAGATCAATTTTTAAAGATTAAGCTTTAAATTTTCATATAAGAACGTATGCTGTCTTAAATAATGGCACCTACTAGTGAAGTATGATATTGTGGTCCCACTTACTAAAGATGTTTGATATACAGACTGAAGTCTATTGTAAGAAGTGAAGTGGCATGGCGCAAAGAGCACCGAGGTGAGAGCCCCTGGAAGCTGTTTCCAAATGGACTGTGGGCAAGGCGTACTATCTCTTTATTTTTTTAAGTTCTGAAACTCAATAAATCCCAACTTAGAAAACAGGCAAAAAAAAAAGTATTACGGCAAGAAGGCAACTTCTACTAGGCCTCCTCTTCTTGTACTTCACTGAAGAACCTTAAAGTTCCAAGGGACTCAGTTGGAAACTGTCCCTTTTCTTTCTATATGATCTTTTAATTCTGAGCTAAATTCTAGAACTTGGACTTAACAGACACACATGCATGCATGTGCACACACATGTACACATGCACATATATAACATATACACAGACATGTACATGCGTATATATTCAGAGGGAAAGCAGAGAGACAGAGAGAGAGAGAAAGGAAGAAAGAAAAAGAAAAGAAAAGGGGAGGAAAAAGAAAGGAAGGATAGGGAGGGAGGGAGGGAGGGAGAAAGAGAAAGATGAACAAAAGAAAGAAAAAGAAAGGAAGAAAGAAGAGAGAAAAAAGAGAAAGTAAGGAAGAGAGAATGAAAAAGAAAGAGAAAGAAAAAAGAAATAAAGGAGAAAAAGAAAAAGAAAAGAAAGAAAAAGAAGGAAAGAAACGAGAAAAAAAGAAAGAAAAGAAAGAAAGGAGAGAAAAAAGGAAAGAAAGAAAAACGAAGGAGAGGAGGAAGAGCTTGGGGAAAGAGTATAAATTTCTAGCAATGAAGTCCTGTAGTCTAACACTTCAGTATGAAAATGCTAGAAAAGAGCAGCAATTCCTAGAATTCCAGGAGTCTGCCTTCCTTTTTATCTTCTCCCCCTTCCCTCTGTGCTGATGGTTTAAAATAAGAGAAATGCAATATTTAGGTATGAAAATGTATGTTTTAATATATTTGAAACACTTCTCCCCTAATCTCCTTTGGTCTTCTATTCCCAGAAGGAAACATATTTAAAACAAATAAATCAGTAAGATTTATTTTAAAAGACACACAGATTTATTCCATTATAGAAGCTAAACAGCAAACAAGAACTGTTATTTAAGCAATATTTGAATTATGATTAAAATTTCACTAAAATACTGATGGATTTCTTACTATGAAATTTAAGTTTGCATTTAACTAACTCAATCAGTTAACCTCTACATTTTCTAGTTAGACTTTCCCCCCACTATTTCCATCTCTTTTCCTTCTTTCTTTTACTTATTTGTTGACTTACTAAAGGAACCATGCAACACTCAAAATTACTGTTTAGACGCGTCTATTTGCTACTGACTCTTAAAAACATTTCTACCTGATGTTGTATTGAGTAGGGTCTCTCAGCAGGAACCAGGGTTCAAAAAGAAGTAAGGGAAGGTGGAAATAAAGCAAAATAAAAATTTCACTTTTAGAAGTTGAAAAAACCATCTGGCAACTTCATAGGCCTTGTTCTTTGTGGTTACGAAATGAGCAGTCAATTCCCAAATAAAAACCAGTACGACTCCTACCTCAAACTCATATTTGCACATATTGGTTTAAGAGAACTCAAGCCTTAGGCACAGCATCTTAGAAATTGTTGATAGTATGAATGCCACACCTGTAAAATAACCTGTCTACCCAACTTAATATTAAACATCGTTTGAATGAGTGCTTTTTAAAGTGTTATAATTTGTTTTTAAAAGATTTATTGGTTTAAATAAGTGCTCTATGACAACATTATCCTTATCTAAGGACCTAACAGAATAGTGTTTTTGTTTCTTTTCTTTTGGCTTTAAGAATTTGCGAGCTATAAATTATTATTATCTGTATATACAAATTATTCAGGTTGAATATACAATGGCAATATGGGAAGTTAATAGATTGCTGTTTGATTGCCTAGCTAAGCAAATAGTTCTGTGCAAATGACCTAATCATCTAATGTTTGAAAATGACATATGAATTTAAAAATATGTTGATAGAACTTACAGTCTAAAATAGATCTGTCTAGCAAGGCAGGAACTCCCTGGGAGATTGCCCCAACTTTCCAATAGAAGGTCATGAACCCTAATCCTATCATAACCTTTGTCCCTGATTCCATCAATCACCCATCCCTAATTGCGCTATCCTACTCTACTCATTTCCTATCTAAACCCATTTTCCATTGTGCTATTACTCACAAAACCCTTCTAAGTGTGCCCTTGGGGACTCATGGTCTTTATCCTATTTCCTAAAATTCTTTTTTAAAGGTTTCCCCCTCTTTGCTCTAATGAAAACTCTCTCCCCTCAGGATACCTTCTCCCCTGCAGTCTTGTCAATGGTGACTATTTTCTTTCCTGCATCCCTTGTAGCTCTTCATATCATATGATCTTGAGGAAGAGTAAGTGTCCTCTTACACTCATTGTCATTGAAGATCATTGTCTCTCTTTCCTCCCTAACCTCTAAGCCCTAGCAAGCTTTGAAGTTCATGTCTTCATGCTATACCTCCTTATTAGTTCATTCTCACGTTCCTCTAAAGAACTTCCTGAGACAGGGTAATTTATAAAGGAAAGAAGTTTAATTGACTCACAGTTCTTCAGGGCTGGGAATGCCACAGGAGTCTTACATTCATGGTGGAAGGGGAAGTAGACACATCCTTCTTCACTCTGCAAGGTGAAGTGCAGTGAGGCGGGGTAAAAGTCCCTTGTAAAACCATCAGATCTCGTGAGAACTCACTCACTATCATGAGAACAGCATGGAGATAACACCCCCATGATTCAGTTACCTCCCACCTGTTCCCTCCCACGATATGTGGGGATTATGAGAACTATAATTCAAGCTGAGATCTGAGTGGGGACACAAACCACATCAACTTCCTCCTATTGCAGGCACATACAGATGTGCCCCATACCCATCTCTTTATGCCTATCCCAAAACATACCTTCCAATTCTCTCTCCCCTGCATCTTCAGTGGTTCCCTTCCAAATATCTTCAGTCTCAAATATGCAGTAATATTTTTCACCTTAAAAGAATTATTTAAGCCCACATCATCTTTCATTTACCAACTACCCCTTTATCAGAAAAGAACCCTTTGAGTCATTTATACTCCCTGTCTCTAATTCCTCTAGTCTTACCTTTTAAAATTCACTGTAATGAGAATTTCATCATCAACATTCCACCAAAACAGTTCTTAACTAAGTTCTTCCACCCAGTGGTAAGTTCTCAGGCCTTAAGTTCTCACTTGGCCTTTCAGTTCCTTCTTGAAACAATTTCTTTTCTTGGCTCCTGGGTCACTACCCCCTTGTGATTCTGCTACCACACAAGCTGCTCTTGTCAGTTGCAGTCATGGTTCTTCATCTCACTGGCCCTAAGGCTCAGTCCTCAGTTCCCTTCCCTATTCATAATCACTCCCTTGGTGATTTTGTACTGCCTTATGGCATAGTCTATATGCTGATGAGCCTCAGATGAACACTTCCAGCTTCGTCCTTCCCCTGAACTCTGGACAAACATTACCTGCTGCCCAGAAGATATCACCACTTAACTTGTCTCAAACCAAGCCCTTGAACTCCCTCTGTGCCTAGCTTTTTCTCATTCTCTCTACGTATCTAGAACATGACAACTCTGTTCAACTCTATTCTTGAACGTCCTTCATACAAACTTTGAGGTAATTCTTAGCTTCTCACCCACACTCAATATCCAATTCATCAATAAATGATCTTGGCTCTTCATCGAAAATATATCTAGAATCAGATCATTTCTCATCAATTCTAATATCATGATCCTGGTCCAAGACACCAACAACCTCCAGATTAATCTAATAACCTCCCAGCTGGTTCCCCTACTTCTTCTCTTGTCTCCCCACAGAAAGTATCCCCAACAGGCAGCCAAAGTGAGCACATAAATACATACATTTTTAACATAAATTCTTCCAGAATGGTAGAACATGATTCTCAAATATAAAAGAACAGCAGCATAAAAATATGTCCAGAGCCAACGCGAAGTCATTGCCGGCCATGTACCCCT